TCAAATTCAGAAATATTTTGCCTTTTTAAGAGAAGCAAAAGGATTCTTCTTTATATTATTAAAGAAGATCTTCTCACCCTTGATAAAACAATTGTTTGGGAAATGATAATCAATTTCAGCCTTTACAAATATCCAGAATATTTTTCAAAAGAAATCAAGCCACTTATTGATGAAGAAATGAAAGAAAAATATCGAAAACTCTATCAAAAAACAGAAAATCATATTTATAATAATAATAATAATAATAACAAATATAATTTAATTGAAGAAATATTTAAAGAAGAACCTGAAGATTTTGAAGAAAAAAGAAAAGAAGGAATAAATGATGAAACACTTTGTGAATTAATTAGAAAAGATCTACTTAAAGATTTCATTATTTATATCAGCAGAAAGAATTATTCATTAACAAATTCTGTAAGTCAATCAATTTATGAAACAAATAAATTATTAATGGTAAAAAATGCAAGTTTAATTCAATATGCAGCTTTTTATGGATCAGCTCAAATTTTCCAATATTTAAGAAGAGAAGGAAATGAATTGGATAATTCAATATGGATTTATGCAATTCATGGTGAAAATGATGAAATAATTCATTATTTGGAAGACAATAATATTAATCCACCAAATAATACTTATGAAAGTTGTATTAAAGAAAGCATTAAATCGCATAATCATCTTATGTTTAATTACATTGAAAATAATTTGATTGACGAAAAATATGAGAACTATGATCAAAATATTATTTCATACTGTTTCAACTTTTATAATTTTGCTTATTTCCCAGAAGAAATTAATACAAAATACATCTTTAGTTATGCATGCAAGTACGGTTATTTGACAATTGTAAATTACTTAATAAACTCAGGTAACATTGACACTAGTGAAGAATCAATTATTTTAATAAAACTTTTTAATAAAAATTGCTTAAAACTAGCTGCAAAGAATGATAATCAAGAAATAATGAATATTTTATCAACTTATATAAAAATTGATAGAATTGATTTTATTCTAAGTAATAAATTGACGCAATTTACAATTCCTAATTCAGTCGTGTCCATTGAAAACAATTCTTTCAATGGTTGTAAATCATTGACAAAAATTTCAATTCCTTCATCCGTAGAATATATTGGGGAATGGTGTTTTGGACAATGTTTAATGTTGAATGAGGTTATATTTGAACATCCTTCTTCATTGCATAAAATTGAAAGTTATATTTTCTTCGGATGTTCTTTTTTAGCAAAAATAACAATTCCTTCATCTGTTACTTCAATCGGTCGTTGGGCATTTAGTGGATGCACTTTGTTAAGTGAAATAACATTTGAAGAACCTGTTTCTTTGGTTTCAATTGAAGAAGATGCCTTTTATGATTGTGAATCATTGATTAAATTGACAATCCCATCTTCAGTTGTTACAATTGGTAAATTTGCATTTAGCAATTGCAGTTCTTTGAAGGAAGTGACAATTCCCTCTTCAGTGAAAATGATCGGGATGCAAGCTTTTGGTCTCTGTTCATCTTTGGAAGAAATAACCATTCCTTCGTCAGTAGAAACACTTGGAGCAGGAACATTTTATAGAACAAATTCATTAAAGATTTTGAAAATACCATCATCGTTGAAACAAATCAATCTTGGATTAGAATCAAATACAAAAACAAAGGTTATTAGAACATAAACAACATATGTGCTAAAGAAATATCTTTTATCTTTTATTTATTTATTTTTATATCATTTAATCAAGTTTTTTGTTAGTTTTTAATTTGAAAATTCATCAAGCATAGAGACAACATTTTTTTTAACAGTTTAATAATAATAATGAAATATATTTTATTGACTAATAAGCAATCAATAATAATAATGTCTTTTTTTAACTTTTTCTAATATCACGAAATAACCATCTGGCTTCTCTCTTTCTCCATATTGAATATAAAATCTTCCAATGTATCATCTTTATTTGGTGTGACTTTGCAAGTTTTGAGTTTATCGTTCAACTTGCCAAGCAGAACTTTCAATTTGGTTTCATTTGTATAATCAGACATGTCGATGCGAAACAGGGAACTTGAGACATCGTCTCCGATCTTTGCATTGAGAGAAGTTTGAAGTAAGGCTCATCGCTTGGGTTGTTCTCTGGGAAGATAATCAAGAACATCAGCAAAACATCGCAGCTCTTCAGAAAGACAACAACTTTTCGCTTCTCAATCTGATTCTCTCTGCTCAGAATCCGATAGATCGAGTAAACTGCATTGTTCACTCGCTGGTTGTATGCACTGATGTCGATCTCTTTGGTGATCCGATCAACAACTTCGTCGCCAGTCTCATTCATCTCTGTGAAGAAGCCAAATGGAGAAACAAGAGTCACCTCAGGGTAGAAAAATGGCTTGAATATGCTAGGCTTTGTGATCAATTTCACTGATTTGACTATGGAGTCAAACAGTTTCTGATCGAATTTGCAGTTGCGGAATTCTAGAGGAAGCATCTTTCTTAATGACAAGTTCACAAAATCTTCTTTTTCAATGAACTCGTAAACATCTTCTGGAGTCTCAGGACAGAAGAAGATCAAGAAGATTCTCTAAAGAAGAAGACGATCAAGAAGATTCTCTAAAGAAAACGATCAAGAAGATCCATCCTGTTGAACAAATGAAATCTGATATTTAACTTGCGAAACTTCCAGAAGAGAATGGAATGAATGAAAACAAAGATTTCATTTGTTCAACAGGATGGAGATCGATTGGAGATTTCATATTACAAGCGAAAGAAGAAAATGATAATGTTAATTCCAATCTCATTTATCGAGCGAAAGAGAGTGTCAAGCGAGGTAAGAAAAAATTTCCTCATGAAGAAAATAATTTTTTAATCAAACATTTCAATTATCCTTCAATTTGTCAGTTCACAAGATTATTCTTGGAATATTCAGCTGGTGTCATTTTCTATACAGCTGTCGCTTGTGTTGATATTCTCTCTCGTTGTCAACTTGAAGAAGTCAAAGAAAGATCAGCAAATAAATATAAATCATATGAAGAATATCGATCGAAATATGGATTTGTCCAGTATGTTCGTCAAGCTTATTATGTTCGTGAATCTTTCACATCTTCAATACAAGCACAATTTTCGAAAGAGAACAAACATCCATTTATATTATTGATTAAATACCTAATATATTGGTGTATTTCATTTTTAGTTTAAATCTTTCTATACAAAGAAAAAATGCAAAACTAAAAAAAATTTTTTTTTTTAATTAAAAATGCAACTCAGAATTCTATATAAATCACTATCTGTATAAATTACAAATAAAATTTGAAATTATATATTATTACTTGATTATAATATTTAATTGCATGCTTTATTTTAATAAAAAGACAACAATTAATAGATAAATGTTTATTAAATAAATAAAGAGTAATTTGATTGATTGCCACTTTTTATTTTTGAATTCTGGCATACTTTCGATTCCACAACACCGAGATATTTCAGATTATGTCCATGGTGAAATTTTGCTGCACAACTTTGACAAATCAAAAACATGGACGACGGATCACATTCTAAACAGTAGAACATTGGTTGATTGATTAATTTTCCCTGTGTTTCAATAGATGTACATTGAAGTGATCCAGCATCCTTCATCAACTTGCACTTACATTTTTCACAGCAGTCGCAAAAAGCACTGTCAACTCCACAAAATCGAATGTCGTGTCCTTTATGGCAGTTTCTAGCGCATGCTTCACAAATACCCAAATCATTTATTGGTGTTAAATTGCATGTTAAGCAACGATAAAATTTTTGTATTATAAATTTGTTACCAGTAGCGCAATAAGTACAAATCTGCTCGATATCTGATTTAACTGTTTTAAAAGCTTGAATTTCAAATGAAATCTTTCCAGCAGTCTGGTCCCCTTTTCTTATTTCTATTTCTTCAGTTACAGAATCACCATCAACAATTAATTTATTTAGAGGATATTGAATTTCATCAATAATTTTATCTTTGAGGTAATCCCTATCAATGACTTCTTCCTCTTCTCCTTCTTCTCCTTCTTCTTCTTCTTCTCCTTCTTCTTCTTCCTCTTCTTCTTCCACTTCTTCATTTTTTTCATGACAGTTAATCATGTTGATAAATAAAATATCATTAGAATCGGTTGTGTAAAGGTCAAATTCATCATTCCAGATTGGATTCATGGTGTTTGAAATATTATGAGTTTCTTTTTGATCATATTCATGTTGACTTTTTAACAGAACTGTAATGAACGGATTGATTTTCTGAGTATTTATAATTTTTTGTAAATCAGTAGCTTTCAAATTTTTAATATGTATACGAATTTCATTTGGATCACAAATTTGTTTCAATTCATTTTCTTCACAAATATGTTTCACTTCATTTTCTTCACAAATTTGTTTCACGTCATTTTCTTGATGAATATTTTTTTCATTTTTTAAGACAAACAATTCTTTTTTGATTTTATCGTTTTCCAATTCTAAATTATCAACTTTAGACACAAGTTCACCATTTTTTTTCTCCAGATATAATATTTTCTGTTTCATTTGATCTTTTTCAATTGATAATTGGCCGATTTTAGAATTGCATTCATTCAATTTTTGAATGAATTTATCAAGGTCAATTTTTGTATTATCATCATCGTTCTCTATTTTGTCAACGTATTGCAAAACTTCTTCTTGATCGACATCATCAAGATAATATTGACAATCATTAGAATCAAATACGTTATACAACGATTCTTCAATGTTTCTTGAAAGACGATTATAAATTTCTTCAAAAGTTGGTCGTGATTTTGGATTTCCAGACCAGCATTGTTCGATCAATTCCTTCAATAACTCAATTCTGAGGATGACAACCATATTTTTCTTTTTCTATTCCATTATCTGAATGAAAATTGAGTTTGACAGACTTTTTTGCCTCTACTTTCATATTTTTAAATTTTATTAATAAGTCAATAATTTTGTAAATATAAATATAAGAAAAATATTTATTTTTTAAATTACAATATATATGAAGGTACTTTGGCCGAGGGGTCTAAGGCGTTGGGTGTAAGCCCCTTTCCCATGAGGAGCGTGGGTTCGAATCTCACAGGTACCAAGTTTTTGATTTTTTTTTTTTTAAGTTTTTGATTATTATTATTAATAATAGTTTGAGTCATTATATTAAATATACACATAGATTAAATAAACAGTAACCATTTCAAATATTTTTGGTATTATAATAATACTTTTATAAAGCAAAAACTATTTAACCTTGGATAAGTTTTCAAATCAATCAATAAATGTAATGTTAGTTCCATATTTAATAACTCTTATTCTTAAAAAAGGAAAAAGTAGTTTTTAATAATGTATGAAATGCATGATTGATGGTTATCAAATTGTAGATGAATTGATGAAATTTATTAATGTAAGAAATTCTCCTCCTATTGACATGCTATTAACTACAAATCATTGTTAAATATTTGCATTCAAAATCATTTTCATTTCGAAAATAATAAAAAAATTGTTTTTCTAATGAATTCTTAGTAATAATTGAAACCATGAGATCAATTTCTTTTTTTTCAGCATAATCATAATTATGCATTATAGTAAAGATAAAAGCAATAAGAAAAATTGTTTGGAGGTATTTTATCGTTTATTAATGATAACAGAAATATTTAACAAAATAATGAATCATAGTAGATTGGATTTTCTTTGTTTGATGATCGGTAATCTATCATTGACGTACAATATTTTGCATTATCGTCGTTGATCTTTGTGTACTTGTTGTTCTTGCAATATGCTTGCTTCGTGCTATTTTGTTGGTTGTTGTTCTTGTTGCTTGTTTTGAATGTTGGGAATGCACTCGTGAGTGGAATTGGATTTCCATTTCGCCAATGGCTCGTCGTTTCTTTCCCTGACTTTGAAGTGGTTCATATATGTTCATAGTTTTCATTTCAACATTCTCATAATCTTTCGTTGCAAAGTCTTTACAACTGATCGTTGTTGACCCAACAATCGGGTCGTCAAAAAATCCATGCCTCCTGAAAACAATGACAATTTTATCTGTTTGATCGGTGACATTGACTGTGAAGAAATGATGAACAAAACTCATTTGTTTCCCTTCTGTAATAAAAGCTTCTTTGTTGTTTTCTGGGAATGTTGTAATGCTCACACGAACTTTATCATTCACACCGATGATCTTTGGATTCAATTTGAATGACTTGAGATGGATATTTAAGCCGTACATTTATTAAAATGATATGAATTAATTCTTTTATTTTTTCCTTCAATGTTTTGAGAGCTTTTTCATTTTATATTTTTTTGAAAACAAATTATTTTGACAAATTGAGAGAAATAACGATTATATAAATCACATAAAAAAATAAAGTATTTAAATATTCAAAGGAAATGAAATAAAACTCAGAAAAATATAAAAATATAAACTTTTTATATGCTTTGTAAGAGAACAACATATAAAAAAATATTAATAAAGCAATATGCTATTATAAAGAAGGTTCGACATTTAATGGCTCAAAATTGAAAGAAAGAACTTTTTATTTAAAAATCGTTTACTGCAAAACATCAAAGATTTTTTTATATAATTAGAAAAAATTTGATTATAATAAATAATATGTATCTTTTTAAATGAAAAAAATATATTTTATTTCTTAACGAAGTTTAATATATTAAAAAGAATCATTATAAAGAATCATCGAACCGATTAATTGATTTTAATGATATAATATAGCTCAATAACTATCATGCCATTGATTGCTTAACAAAAAAATAATGAAATCAACAATTCTTTTTGAATATATTGATGGTCAAAGAAAAAAAATGGCAAAAATATTAATATTTAAGTGAAATATTTAGGAAATATTAATGACAATGACAATATCCTTCAATTTACCTTTAATATGGTTTATAAAAATAATCATATCTCATATTCAATCTAAAAAAGTTAAAAAAATAATAGTTAAATCGTTTATAATATCTCATTTTTAATGTTAACCCTCAGTGGAATCTTAAAATTAAGATTTGGGATTTTTCGAGATAATCTTGTCTTAAAAGTTCATTTTTTTATTGTTTTATAAAAATAAGTAGCATATAAGGATCGTAAATATATTAATATAACTTTTCAAAACAATGTATATAACGAGATATTGCAAACGTACTACTCCCTTAAAAGTTGTATTGATCAATTTGTATTGTTTCCTTTGAAAAATTTCATAGTTAAAAACAAATGCATAAAAAATGAGCAAAAACTGCTCGTATAAAACTTTAAATTGGTAAATTGATATTTGTTATTGAAAATAAATATCTTATTCAAAATTTACCGTAAGTAAACAATTTTTGAGATATGCTCTCAAATTTTTTTTAATATAAAAAAGGCTATGTTTTTATTGTTAGCTTGCTTTTCTTCATGTTCAAGGTATGCGGTCCTTTTTGCTGGTTCTAAAGAATTCTATAATTATAGACATCAAGCTGATATGTATACAATTTATAATCAATTATTAAACAGAGGATTCACACCTAAAAATATTAAATTATTTGCATACGATGATATTGCAGCAAACGAAGAGAATCCATACCAAGGCCAAATATTCCATACACTCGAACATAAGAATAATGTTTATCCAGGAACTTCTACTATTGACGTAAAAGGCGATGATATAACGCCAGGCTCATTTTACAATGTCATTACTTCTCTTCCAACTTCAAGTGAAGATTATGTTTTAATATTTTATAATGATCATGGAGGATACGGCACACTTGGAACACCAAATAAAGAAAATATCTATGCAGATCAACTATCGAAATCATTTGACCAAGCTTCTTCTTCAAATCTTTACAAACAATGTTTATTCCTAATTGAAGCATGTTTTTCAGGATCAATTGGAAAAGTTATTACTGCTTCGAATACAGCCACAATTACAGCATCAAATGACAATGAGTTATCGCATGCAGCAGTTTGGGATTCTGAAATTGGATGTTGGCTCACAAATGAGTTTACTAATAGTTTTATAAGCGTTATCGACGAATCCCCACAAATGTTAGTAGGTGAACTTTACGATCAGCTTGCGAAACTTACGGATCAATCCCATGTCTCATATTATGGAGATGAGAATATTAAAAAAGTTCCCCTTTCAAACTTCATTGGGCTGCCAAACAGGAAAATTTCTCATAATTTACATATTACCTCAAAACAGACGGTCTCACAGCGAAAAGCAAGCGAAATGTCCTTGGAATTTCTTGCTCATCATGAAAAACCGTCAGTCCGTGCAAAAGCGAAGCTTGAAATTCTTCGTAGGAAGGCTCAAACAGAAAAACTGGAGGTTGTTTTAGATATGATTGTCAAATTCATTGATCCAAAAAATTATGATAGAATTATGAACGATACAACGGCCAAATTATCTCAGAATTATTTTGATGTTTTAAAAATTTTCCAGAAAAAATTCGGTGAAGTTAATCCTGATGATTATGGACGTTTTAGTGTATTTAAAGAACTTGCAGCTATTCATCCTAAAGATGAAATTGTTAGAGCAATTGAAACCGTCTTGAAATAAAAAAAATTGTATATTACCGATTTTACCTAAAAAAAAACTTTCTTATTTTATTTAAATAAAATAAGGCAAATATCATTTTATAAATGTTTGTCATTTAAATGCTTTATTATTATTATTCTCTCAGACATTCATTTTTTGTATTCGCTTGATTCATTACTTTTTTCTAATAAATTTTTTTTTTTTTTTTTTTTTTTTTTTTTTTTTTTTTTTTGCCCAAATAAAAATAAAATTGTAATAATTGTTTATTGATGATTTTTCGCGTTTTTAATCATTTCTTGATTTTTTTCATATAACTGCACAATTGTATTTCCTTCTTCATCAGTTGCTTCCAGATCTAATCCAGAATTTTGTATCAATATTTCAAATACATCTAAATTCAATGTAGAAAGTGCTGTGTGTATTATTGGTGTCTCAGATACAACCTCATCAGAACTAGGATTGTATTGCAAAGATTTTGCATTTATGTTAATTTCAGGTTGTTCCAGTAAAAGTTGAGCGATATCACTATTTTTAACTTCAAGAGCAACTGCCAATGCTGGCTTTTCACTAATCAATTTATTTGATTTTGATGTGTACAAAGCATTCACAACAGTTTCCAATAAAACAAATGTTTTTTCAGGAATGTTGACATCAATATCATCTCTTGATAACAAAAGATTGACCATTTCGAGATTTTCTTTTCTAACAGCGACATGCAAAGATGTTGATTCTCTTGACTTTTTCCTTTTCTCTTCATCTTCTTCTGAATAATCTGTAAAATTAATCGTCACATAATCGTTTATTTTCAAGTTGTCTTTATCTAATAAAAGTTTAACGATTTCCATATTGTCTTTAAATACTGCTTCTGACAAAGCTGTCTTTATATCATCTTCACTCGTTTTACACCTGAGATTAATGTCAATTCCATCTCGTTCTAATAAAAGCTCAGCAATGTCAAGCATGCCTTTTTGAATTGCCATGAATAAAGGCGACAATTCAATTGTTTTCTTTCTTTCATTCAAAACCTCAATGAATTTGTATTTGGTCAATAAAATTGAATTGATATCAATGTTTTCATTTCTTAATAAAATTTTAACAATATCAGAATTGTTATTTTCAAATGCAATGTGCAATGCAGTTTTGTTTATTTCTCTTTCTTTTCCTTTGTTTGCTTGTTCTGATTCATTTGTCATTGTGTCACTTTTAGATACAAATTTTGAATTAATTTTAATTCCTTTTTGTGATATCATTAATTCAACAATTTCAGGTGTTCCTTTGGCAGCAGAAACATGTAAATCAGTAAATTTAACAAGTTCGTTTTCTTTAGTTTTCTTGTCTTTGAAATTTCCTTTGAATTTGTTCGTTGACAATGAATTTATCTTGATTTTTGAGGATTCTAGTAAAGATTTGACAATGTCGAAATCTTTATTTTCAATTGCAATGCATAACGCTGATTTTTCATTATCAATTTCACCTTCAACCGCTTCTTCTTCTTCATTTTTCATTTGGTTAAATTCATGCTTTGAATCATATGAAAAGATTGACCTTATATTGACATCAATATCATCTC